AAAATAGCTGTTTCCATGGCTACGTGATCACTCATTATTACACTCAGAGGAAGTGCATCTTGGGGGTAATTCAGTAGACTGGGTTATGATTTTCACAGCAGGACCTGGGAAATTCTGCATCAAATATGATCTCTGTTAATTTGCACTGCTTACGGCTTCAAAGACGCTCATTTTTACTGAAAGTACGAAATTTCAGATTCAGCCACATGATGATGGTTTCCACAGTCCTCTTGTGGTGGTCCCGGGGCTGGACAGAGCAGCTGGCTGGCTCTGTCCAACCACAGCCCCAGCTCAGAGACACTGCCTGGGTCAAGGGGGCCCAGCAACCTGGCTGGGGGCTGGTGTGAAGGACAGAGTCAGAAGTGAAGTGGCCCAGCCCCAGCAAAACCCATCTCCCTTGCCCCCCTGGGAAGGGAGGACTGGACAGGGAAGGACAGAACCACTTCTCGACAGCCACTGAGTCACCCACAGCCTCCTTGCACACGCAGCAGCCAGCGAAGACCTCAACAGCCTTTGACATCTGTGCTTTATGTGGCTTGGAGTCCCTGGGTGGTTGCCACCCACAGGCCTGGGGCCTGGTGCTGGGCGCTGCTGGTTGGCCTGTCTGAAGAGCAGGCCTCAGAGGCAGGTACACCCTCCCTGCCATGGGGAAGAGCACCCTGGGGAACAGGAGGCCAGAGTGCGAGGCTAGCTTTGCTGAGTCCTCAACAAGATGCGCCAGGCCCAACGTGACCACTGTGTTCCCGCCACGCCCCTGCCTGGGCTCCGCTTCCTCCTGCCATCTTTCTTGTTAAAACTGAGATATAATTCACATAAGATAGGACACAATGCACCCCATAACCCCACACCCACCGCTTTGAAGCCTACAAGTCTGGTTTTAGGATATTCGCAAGGTCCTAGTTCTAGAACATGCCTGCTATCCCAGAGACCACAGGCACTCAGCTTCCCCTCCCACTCCCTGTACCACGACTCTCCCTCTGCCTCCGAGGAGGTGCCTCTGTGGACACTTCACACCCAGAGTCATCTACAAGTGGCCCTGGTGTTGCCTTCTGCACTCAACACACTGTTTTCAAGGCTCATCCATTCTGCAGAAGGTTTATCAGCACTTCATTCCTTTTTCGTTGGTGAATAATATTCCACGGTGTGGAATTTCATATGTGGTTTTTGTCCACCAGTCAGTTGATGGGTACGTGGGTTGTCTCCACTTCTGGCTGTGATGGATGAGCCAAGAACATGTGTCTTCGAGTCTCTGTGTCAGTGTCTGTTTTTAGTTCTCTTTGGTGTCCACCTAAGGGAGCACTGCTGGATGCACAGGCAAACTGCCAGATTCTCCCAGGTGCCTAGCTGACGGCTTCCCTTCCCTAGCCTGAACAAGATCCTGACATCACCCAGCATCTGCTGTTCCTCAAGTGTCCCCAGGAGCTGCGCCACAGGAGGCATGACCTCACCGGCCTCGGTACTGGCCCCTTTCTGGTGTGACTGCAGGTTTGGAGTGCAGTGCAGGCCTGTGGGGGACACAGTGCCAGCCCGCAAGTGACACACAGCGACTCAGCCACCCCAAGGTGCAGATCGGGTCTACCCCAGAGCCACTTAGATGAGGGGAAGAAGGTGCGTGGAGGCTGTGTGGGGAGGACGAGCAAGTGCAGAGGCCCATGCACTTCTGAAGGCTGTGGTCAGCACTGCCCGCCAGCAGTGTGCAACCCGGGGCTCTGCCAATCCAGCTGCAGCCACATGGACGACGTTTCCGTCAGTGCCAGATGCAGGCAGGAGTGGCCTCAAGGTGACAACAGAAAAACAGTCTCCATGTCAGTGACCTGGCAGATGCCTGGTGTCCCAGCACAGTGCAGACCTCGAGATGGTGGTGGGACGACCTGCCAGGCACCCCTGGGGGCTTGCGTGTCCACCACACCGTGCTCTGCTGTCACTGCTTTGGAGCACAGTCCTACTCACAGAGAAGGACTTCTCGGTATCATGGTTGGCCGTGTGCGGACGGCCAGCTCCGAGCACCCTGAGCCCATCAAGCCTCCCAGTCGCATGGTTTTCTCTCGTGCTTGATTTAACCTCAGCTGTGTAGAGCACCATGCGCCTGGAGCTGTTCTGCCCACCTCGAACACAGCCCAGGGCGTAGAAGGCCAGGCAGCCGGGTTTTGCGAGTGCACTCCAGGACCTCTGCACAGTGGTGACATTGCCAACAGGCCGTTCTCAGCACTGTGGCTAGGTGACCCACGACTGCATTTCAAGGTGCGTGCACTGAGCACTGGCTTCTGCAGAAGACCCAGCCCGGAGTCGGGCTTCAGAGCTGAAGGAGACTGGTTCCCAGGGATCAGAGCCTGATGGGCTGGACAGCAGGGGTGAGGATTGTGGCCCCAGGCTGCGGGGAGCTCCGTCCCTCTGCTGATCTGCCTGGCACCTCCCTCCTCTGACCCAGTGGAGGAGGTGGGAGACGGACACAGGTTCTACTTGAACGTTTCGTTTGGCAACTACACATGGGTCTGGCGGAGTGACTGAAATGCCACTGGCTTCTGAGCTCTCTCAACCCCAGAACCAAGCATAGAGGAGAATCAAGGCAATTATCAAGAGAGAAGGTTCTGGACTATCGTGATTCCCTCGTGCATTAACAGGGATAAGACGAGGGAAGGCGGAGAAGTGAGGAGTAATCCAGGATCCCCAGGTCTGGCGTGGGGTTGGTTCCCGTGGTTCTGCCGGGCCGGGGACAGAGGCCAGGACAGAGGCCAGCACGGAGGCCAGGACAGAGGCTCGGGCTGACCGTGTTTTACTCCTGACAAGCCTGGAAGGTCTCGGCCTGAGGCCAGGAGCCTCACTTGCAAGGCCTCCTCTATCCGTGGCTTCCCGCGGTGTGAAAGGCCAGAACTGAGAAAGTGAGGTGGCATCTGTGACGGGGCAGCCGTGACCCCACGGCCCTCAGTTTCTGACCCCTGGGCCTCGGTTTCTGTGCTGGTGACACATGAGCGAGAGGCAGAGCTTCTCTGGGGCTTCCTCTGTGCTGGGTACTCTTGAGGGCTTTGATGGCTACTGACTGAATCCTACCAGGGCCAACTGGGCACAGATGCCATGGTCTCTCCCACTGAAATAACCTGCCCCAAGCCCCGCGTGGCACCCCCAGGAGCCAGGGCTGAACCCGGTTGTCACACTCAACCTTATATTCTCATTTTCTATTTAAAGTTGAATCATCGATTGTACCACCGTGGTGATGCACGAGTAAGCAGTCTGTTTATTTTCCTGTGTGTGTTTAAAAAGAGATTCCAGTGTGGGACTGAGTGGCACTCTGGTTCCCCTGCCAGTCTGTGCTCAGGGCCCACGGGCACAGGCGGACAAAGCACCCGGCGGCAGTGCACAGGGTGAGTGTCCCCATGGTGACGGGCTGAGCCAGCAATGCCCCTGTCCGCCCCCCTGGGCCTTAGCACCCGGTTCTGCCATGGCTTCTAAACGATTGGAAGGAACTACCGCCTGAACCAAGCCTCTGCTGACCCCCATGACATCTCAAGTTCCCCTGGAGCTCTGCAGCAAACCTCCCGCAGCAGCACAGGAGGTGAGACCCAGTGGGCGGCTGCTGGTGGTGGGCAGAGCCCCATCAGTGGATGCATTAATATTCTATGGGGAAGGAGTCAGCTTTCAGGGAGTTCAGCCCCTTCTCACTTCTGCTTGCTTTTCTTTCTGCCACGAGGCCCTTGATGGCACAGACCAGATGCCATTGCTTCATCTGGTGATTTCTGGCCTCCAGAACCATAAACCAAAACAAACCTCTTTCCTTTATAAGTTACCCAGTCTCAGGTATTCTGTTACAGCAACAGAATGGATGATTCTCTTTGAGCTTCAGGCTCCTATAACAATGGCCTGCTTGAGGTCTCCACTCTTCATCCCTTTGGCATCTCAAACTTAAAATGCCCAAATCAGAGATCCCTATCCCCCCACCATCCCACAGACTTCTCCCATCTCAGAAAATGGCACTGTGCTGCCCAAAACCCTTTCCTCGTTTCTGCCTCTCGGCTCCCAGTGTGCAATTCCACAGTTGCCCTGACCCGAGCCACTCCATGGGCTCTGCCTCCTCCATTTTATTTTCCCCTATCCAGTCAAAGCCACTCACTGCACTGGAAGAAAACCCAAGTTCCTCGACATGGCCTCAGCCCTGAGGGCCTGGCCCTGGCCCACCTCTCACTTCAGGTGGCCACTCTTCCTGTCCCATCCATGCTGCTGCCTCCAGCGCCCACTCCTGCCATGACCCTTCCCAGCGCTTGTAGGCGGGACCTTGCTGGGTGCCTCATGCCCGCCCCGATGGTGCCTGCACCTCTGCAGGGAGGAGGGCGCGGTGGCCACAGGCCTGCTTGCTCCTGGGGATCAGCACTCACGGTGCAGGTTCCCGAGGGCCAGTCCTGGGGCTTAGGCCGAGAGGCTCTGAGCTCTTTGCTGTCCAAAGGGCCACATGAAACAAGTGTCATGTCCCCTATTTGTGATCAGAGCAGCAGACACTTCTAGAACTTCTCGGTTATTGGACACTCTCCTGGGGAGCCTCACTGTCCAACAGTAACAGAATGAATCTAAAAACAGCTCAAGACATAGAACCTAAACATTTAGGGAAAAGTAAGGAGTCCACCTGCGTCAGGCGTCGTCTCATTACCGCTTTCCCCTCGTGTGTGTCAGTTACCAGCTGGGTCACTGACGAGATGGCCGCGTCACTGTAAGGGTCTGGCCTTGATCTTGGGTGTGGGTATTATTTTAAAATTTAATTTGGAGACCCCCCTGCTCCAAAATGAAAACACAATGAGCCCCTGGCTTACGTCCATTACACTTTACAAACATGCCTGCCACCCCGTACAGAAGGGAAGAAGTGACAGATGACCACACCCTGAGGCCGAGCCAGCACAGCTTTCTGCTCCTGCTGGGCCTCCTGCTCCGTCTGCCAGACACACCCCTCGACGCTGAGGCTGCCCTCGGCCCCTGGACCGCCGCCCCAGCTCCCGCCGTGGCGGCCCGGCACTTACTACTGTGCGCAGTCGATGAGCTGGTACTCGTTGGACCTCTCGAAGCAAGCCTTGACGCCCTCGTCGTCCCAGAGCTTCTTCACGTGGTCGAAGAACTCCTGGGAGAGAGAGCCGCAGGTGAGAAGGCGCCCACTGCCCGCCTCCAACGCCAAGGGCCAAGCACAGGTGCTACCTCGTGACAAATCCGCCCCCCGCCATGCTGCCAACGTCTGTGGTTCCAGAATGTTCCCCCAGATGGAATCCAGAAGCACAAAATGCCGTCATTATCTAAAGTTCCCGGCACTCAGGATGAAGGAGGTGAGCGGCCACCTCAGCGTGGACACAGGCTGAGGTTCTGTCGCCGCAGCTTCTCCTTCAGCCCTTCCCTGTGAGCTGCCAGCACAATGGACGCGGTCCACTTAGGGTAAAATCTGGCCACTAGGTCCATTAAACTGAAACCTTTAAATTTACCCTTTTTGGTGATAATACGTGTGTGTGTGTGTGTGTGTGTGTGTGTGTGTGTGTGATTTTCCGTTCACCCCAGAGCCAGGAGGGCCATGCTGATCTCACCCACCAAGGCAAGCCAGACCCTCTGAAAGCAGAGCGCTTCTTATCTGGAGGTGGGGGCCCACTTGTGAAGTCCCCTCCCAAGTTACCCAGGCTGAATTAACCAGAGCCGGGGCGCAACTGAACACGTTAGGTGCGCCCTTCCCACCCTGGCATCTGACCCCTGCTGGGACCCCAGGAAGCACAGGACCACCTATGGTCTGTGTGCAGGGGTTGAGGCTGCGCCTTCCTGCCTCCACCTCCAGCAGACGCCAAGAATCAATCCTAAGTTCCCTGGGGGACAATAAGGGCTTGCTACATGTTCTTAGCCACAGTTCCATTCAAGAGTGGGTCCAGGTATTGTGAGGCATCCTACTACTTAGGAGGGGAGGAGGAGGGGGAGGAGGGGAGGAGGAGGAATGAGGGGAAGATGAGGAGGGGGGAGAGAAGGAGGAGATAAAGGAGGGCGAGGGGTGGGGAGAAAAAGAAGTAGTAGTAGAAGAAGAAGAAACCAACTCTCACTTCCTAGAATGAAGAGCCATCTTTTGGGTTAGGAGCTGTATCTCTCCACCTGTCTATCAGGTCACCACCGGCAAATCCAAAGTCCCCACAGTTGAAAGAGGAAGAGCCGATCTCTGCCAGAGCCCCTGCTTATATCTTGTCTCCCTGGGCTTAGGCTTCCCTTCTGGAACGTTCCTCCGCTGTTTCCCTTATTCCAGGAAAGGCATTTGTAGCTTCCTTACAAATCCTCCGCACACCCTCCCCCCCCACACACAGACACACACACAGACACACACACAGCAGCCACTGGCTGGGAAGAGGGTCCTGGAAGAGACCCAGAACCCTGCATCACAGTGACAGGCACCTCCAGTCGCCAGCGTTGGGTCACCTGAGTTCTCTCCACGTGGCGGACTACAGATAAATGACCACTGGACCTCAACGTAGGAACCACAGTACACACAGCTAGAAGTCCACACAAGGATGGTCCACTATGATAGGTTTCCAAATGGCGATAAAAATGAGTGTCCACGGTAGGAACGAGCAGCCAAACCCGGTCAGTAAGAAGAGACCTGCCCCTTCGTCTGGTTTCCAGGCATCCGGAGAGGCCAAGAGGAGGGACAGGGGCACTTGTAAACCAGCGACCGGCTCTCCGGGGTCCCCAGCTGCTCAAGTGGGCCTCAGTGGGTCACCCCTGCCCACCGGCCACTCGAGTGACCGTCTATAGGGAGGGCCTGGACCTGAAGGTGGGGGCAGGGGCTGGAGGGGATGAGAAGCCCCCCGAAGGTCAGTGCTGTGACCCCGCCCCACGCGGCCCTCCTCCCGGGCAGTGGATGAACTGCCCTCCGACCAGGTCCAGGCGTGTTGACCCCTTAAACAGGGGGCGACCACTGCAGGCAGCGCTGGCCTGGCTGGAGGTGGCCCGGGTGTGGCAGGCCAGCACAGAGGTAGGGCTCCCGGTCCCCGCTCAGGGCCCACTGGGCTTCCCAGCCTGGTAACTAGGAGCCAGCGAGGGAACGCTCTGCAGAGCTCCCCGGCCTGGGTTCTGCTCAGTGCCCGTACCAGGCAGCCGTTTGCTTCCCAGCACCCGCTCCTGACTCGCTCTGCATCCATGTCCTGGACCTGAGAGTGAGATCCTCGTTGGCACCGCGTCCTGCCCTTGAGTTCTTAGGCGGGTCTTATTTTGTTGAAGGCCCTGAGCACGATATTCTAGCACACATGATTTCCTTTGTTTCTCCCAAAGATGGAAGAGGTAGATGGTCTTCTCTGTGTTCAGAGAAGCCGAGCAACTCAACCAAGGACAAACAGCTGGTAATGGCAGGATCTGTCTTATTCCACAACCTGGGTTCTGTCCACCACCCACACTACCACTACCACCCTTCATGAACACAGGAAATCACCTTCTGTTCTCTAGTTTCTGACCAGAGTTCTTTGAAGTCACTATTAATGTGATCTAGTAAACCCACTCAACAGGATACCCGCGTACAAGGGATCTAGTAACTAGCTGAGGCACCAAGTGGACATTCAGGGGGTTCCTGGAAGCTCCATAGAGCTGGGCAACCTAGATCCTTCCACAACTCAGGCCTATGAGTTTAGTTCTGGGGTAGGTGGTCACCCTCTCCTGCCTCAGGGGACACCCACTGTGAGGCTGGACACGCTGGGTTCTGCCTGAAACCTTCAAGGCAGAATTCATGGGATGTGTTCTCACAGCAATAGTGAAATAAACAGGAGCACTGTGACTTGAGACTCATCTTGCTTTTCCAGCAGAAGCTTCTGCTGGAAGTTTCTTTTGGATAAATGCTCTGGATAACACTAAAGAAAGCAGCGGCAATCTCTCCGGGCTTTGGCTCACTGGCTAATGCTCGTGGGTGCTGATGGAGGACTTGCGGGGTCTTTGGGATACCACATGTGTACTTTTAGGGTTCTGAAGTCTTTGTCGGGCCTGCTGCTACTGCTATGTCAGTGCACTGACTAAGTTTCAAGCTTATGGAAGTAGAGAGGATAAACCCGGGTGCCCTTCAGCCTCTGCGTCTGTGAACACAGCTTTCTTTAATCTCTGTCTTGTCCCCCTTAGCCTTCACCTTCCTTGTGTGTAGCGGATCTCTGAAACTGTATCATTGCATTTCAACATTATTGCTAAAGGATTCAGACAGCCCAATACCACTGTTTCCACCAAAACCACACAAACAAACTGAGAAAGGTTCTTTAAAGTCACTACATGTTCAGTCAGTCAAACAGCTTCCTTCGCTGTAAGCTGGACATGTGGCCTGGCTGGCGAGGGTCCAGTGGGCCTCGTGCCCCTGGAGGTTGTCTGGAGCAGAAGGCCGCTGAGAACTGCAAAGGCAAAGAGAATGCTCCCTTCCTGTCTGAATTCCTGAACCAGGACAGCGGGTTGCTGGGCAGAGCCCTCCTACCCACCCCTCTCCCCACCCCTCTCCCCAGAACTTGTAGCCCCTTCTCCAGGACTTCTCTCCCTTGTTAAGGTGGCACAGAAGCTCCGAATCACACTGGCTCTTTGGGGAGTGCCATTTCTTTTCTGTGATGCCTCTGCATACAAAAAATCAAAGCTGTCACTGAGGGCTGGGGTGGGAGAGCACATGATGTGTGTGTGTGTGTGGGTGGAGAGACGCTGTGTGTGTGTGTGTAACATGGGGGCCCTTGGTTTGATCGCAACACCCCCCACACCCCATCTCTCTCCACCAACACACACACACACCATCTCTCTCCACCAACACACACACACACACACACACACCATCTCTCTCCACCAACACACAAACACACACACACACCATCTCTCTCCACGAACACACACATACACACACACACCATCTGTCTCCACCAACACACACACACTCATACACACCCCATCTCTCTTCACCAACACACACTCACACACACACCATCTCTCTCCACCAACACACACACACACACACCATCTCTCTCCACCAACACACACATACACACACACCATCTGTCTCCACCAACACACACACACACTCATACACACCCCATCTCTCTTCACCAACACACACACACACCATCTCTCTCCATCAATATACACACACCCCATCTCTCTCCAC